GCTAATAACCAGAAAAAGTCTAACTTATTTTTACAAAGAGAAAGATGTAAAGTTATCATAATATCTTTGCTTGCGATCTCCGAGATCTGTGGACACAGTGACGTCATGAGGAGGGAAATCGTAGCTTCAGCTCTAAGAGCGGAGTGAACTAGCCCTTCTATTCTCTTTAGCCCTGATTACTACTACTGTTTTTTTTAATTAATAAATTTACGTTACCTGAAACATAAGAATTTTTCTGATAAACTGTTCTACAGTAATATTTTCCTATCAGTTTTTTTTAAAAATTCAAGCAATAATTAATAAACATTGTACAGTAAAATTACTACTATTTTAAAGATTAACCAACAATTTTAAAATATTTTTCGATGTTGTTATTTGCATCTAAAATTTTGACTAGGATTTCATTTTAAATTCAACTATTTGTACTTAAAGTTTAAGTAATTATTTATTATAAAAGACCAAATATAACAACTGGTATTAATTAAGAAGAAAAAGATTTGAAATATTGGGAAAAGGAATTTTTCTTTGAACACTGATAATAATGTACATAGGGATTTAAATTCTCAAATCATAACGCCCTTTGAACCTCATGAAAAACCGACAGCGAAAAATTTCAAAGAGTTAGGAGAAAAAAAATTATAACAGATCATGAGTGACGAAATAAGAAGATTTTAAATTAGAGATAAGGTATTATTTTTTCGGAATAGAATAAAAATAAAACATATAATTTCAGAGATAAGAAAAAAAGAAAAAATAATTAGTAAATATCTAAGTTATCTTCAAGAATATGAAAATATTGATCAACAAAATGTCGCGTTTATGTAAGAGCAGAAACTCCGAATTTCTGCATTGAGATTTGTATTCATCAATGCGTGTCGCTTCTTAATCTACGTTACGTATCCAGAGCTTTAATTACAAACGCTCCGCTATTTATGTTTAAATAAACTTGAGGTATAATATTTTTGTGCGACATCCCATAGTGTTCAGCATTATTGCACTGAAACAAAATAAACCCAATCATAATTTTAAGTACATTTAATGATTTTACATGTAAATATGATGTAATTTACATGTAAATTCTATCACAATCTAATTTGTTTTTAGCTACTAAATTATTTGCGCAATACAAAACAGCCTTATAAAACATATGTGCCCATTTATTTAACACGTTGAATGCAATTAGGGTCACCGGTGACCTGCACTGAATTTGTTCGTTGCGTTCAGTTGAGGAAAAAAAAAATGCTTGAGAATATATGAATATTCATGCATTCTCATGTCTTGTTCCTGACTAATTTAGACTTCAGTCTTATGTAGAACAAACTCTATTATTTAAAATACGCTTTATTTAAAAAAAAAATGTTACTGTTTCGTTTAAATTTTATTTTAACTCTGTAGCATTAGTCATTTTTGGAGGAAAAAAAAATATTTTCCGTCTATCTCAGATGTTTAAAATAAATAAAAAATTAATTAAAAAAAATCAGATTTATTTTTAATTTTCAGTAGATCCTACTTGTTAAAAAGACATTCAATATTCCCTTTTTAGGTTCCTGATAAGGAAGTATACCAAGAAATTAAGCGAATGGAATATAGAGATTATAAAATGTTGATGCAGAGATTGGAGGAGTTCATGTGGGTGTGTGGTATTGTGGATGGCCTGGAATCAGACTCATTGTGCGAGTAAGAGCTTAACACTCTCGTAAAGACACTCAGAAAAATGGGTTTTCCATTTATTTTAGAACCGAAATCTCAGCATCATATCATCTTCATTCTCGCTCCCGTGAAAATGACGGGGTTAGGTTTCTCCCTCTATTTCTCGCTCCCGTGAAATTTCCGGGCTGGAGTGTTCAGTAGCAACGCGACAATAAGAATAAAAATAATTAATTTATTTTGCCCGGAAAGCATTTTATTTCTCATTTTACACACCAGATGGCAGTACCAAGATATTTTTAAGGTAATTGCAAATTGTTTTTTTTTAAACCTAGATTCAGCACTAATCAAATAAGTGTATTTATAGGCACTTTTATGACAGTTTTCTTGAAAATTAACCGATCGTTATGGGGTTAAATATGTTTTTTTTTATATATTTCTAACGACTACTTGTTTATTCTACAAATTCTTGATTCCACTGATAAGAAGTTTAAAATACACTGTTAGAAATTTCTAGGTAAAAATGGCTAAATAGCAATTTATTTAATTGTTATTTTACCATATTCACCCAAATTAGTCAAATAACTGAAAAAAAGATTATATTCAAAATTTTAAGTGTGAGAAAAAATGTTTATTGAATGTTTTATCTAATACGGTTTAGCAACCAAAATTCTATCTTCGCCAACTAGGCCTAATTTATGAAGACATTTTGCTTCTTGCAGCTAAATACATAGGGGTAGCCCGGGCAAGATGGCAAGATTTGCCTTCACGGTTTCAAGCTGTATTAATTGTAAACGGTTTTAAAACCATAAAGATAAAAAAAATGCTCCTAACCATTAACCTTATGGTTAAAATGATGGACAGATTACAGCTAGTTATTCTACCGTGGATCAGAACTAAAATTTTAACAGTGTAGTGATGGTAAATTTACATTAACATTTGCAGAAATTGTCTTTTTTATGGTTCTGTGAACATTATTAAATGCTGTTCCATTACAGTTTTCCTGTTCAACTATTTTTTGCTCTTCTTCGTAGTTAGTGTTAAATCTTTTCATTTGTCAAAATAAAGGCATTTTAGTAGATTTATTATTTCTCTGGCGATTGCGCTGCACTAGTTTTACGCTATTTTGTTGTTTCTCCTTCGAATTTAACATGGTCATTTTCTTTTGTCTCATCGCCTCCTGTTTTCAAAACAAAGAGAGAGCATTGTTATCAGTTAGAGGAGCGGATGTTATTCAGAGTAGTAAATTACAAGGAGACTTCTGCTTTTTGTTAAAACACAAGCATTTCTGTCATTGAATTTATTGATCGATTGATTTTTGCTGTTTCAGACCCCTACGTTGAGGAAGCATTCGAAATGTGTCATCTTTATTAT